CAGGTACAACAATGGCGAATTTTTGCCCATAAGAGTATCGAGCAGATTCACTACTAGCCTGATTGTGGACTTGTTGCTGGTGACAGATGGATCAAAATATCACTATGTGTTGATAAGTGATCTCCAGAAATTGGTCGAGTACGTGCGGCACAGAGTGCACCAATTTCAATCTGAGATTTGCCGCAAATGTTTCCACACATGCGCTTCATTCGAAACTCTGAGAAGACATCAAGAACTGTGTTACCAAGACGAAGATGTCGTCATAACAATGCCCAAGCCGAGAAAAGATGATCACAAGTTCAAAAACTTAACAGCTCGTTGGTACGTACCCAGAGTAATCTACTTTGATTTGGAGTCACTGCTCTTACCAGTATACGGACCGCAACCTGATCCGCGAAAATCTAGCACGCAAACAATTGAAATCCATCAACCGTGCGGCTACGCGTTAGCAGTAATCGATTTTGGGACAAAAAGACCTGTTAAAGTTTGAGCTTAAAAGAGGACCGAATGTGATGGAAGAGCTAATTAGCTCCCTTGAATCGTTAGCGAGACAAATTTACGTAGAAAAAAGGAAATATTACACTTTCACTGGTATAACAGACCAGGAACGGGAAGATGCTACAATTTGTTGGATATGCGAGAATGATTTTTCCGACAATGATCAAGTGGTACTTGATCATTGCCATTACACCAACAAGTTCCTGGGTTGGGCACACAAGGAGTGTAACATTAATAGAAAAACAACAAATTACATTCCAGTGCTAGCTCATAACTTTTCAAATTATGATTTACACTTTATAATCAAAGCGCTGGCAAAAAGCGATTCGGAAAACACTTTTTCCGTAATACCCGCATCTGAAGAAAAATATATATCCTTGACAATCTCAGTATATATAAAAACGTACACGGACAAAAACGGAAAAATCAAAAAACTCTACAAAAATCTGAGATTCATCGATTCGTATAGGTTCATGCTAGCATCGTTGGCAAAACTTGTCGATAATTTGCCCAACGAAAAGTTTTTTCTGCTGGAGAACTATTTTGAAAAACTCGGCCACTCACCTGAAAAAGTCAGTGTGTTGAAAAAGAAAGGGCATTACCCCTACTCATACTTCAACTCATTCGAAAAACTCCGAGAAACTCGCCTTCCCCCACGAGCAATGTGGAAAAATAGTCTAGCAGGAGGGGATGTGAGTGTTTCAAGAAGCGAGTACAATCATGCTCTTAAAGTTTTCACCGAAATGAAGTGTGGCTCACTTGGTGACTACCACGACTTGTACTTGACTACAGATGTGCTATTGCTTGCTTCAGTTTTCGAAGCTTTTCGTGAAGTTTGCTATCAAACATACGGGCTGGATTGCGCCTGTTACTTCACGGCAAGTAACCTTTCCGGGGACGCGTTTCTAAAAGTTTGTAAGCCCGAACTGAAACTCTTAACGGACCGTGAACATCTAGACCTTGTGCAGCGAATGATACGAGGAGGCATGTCGTCGGCTTACGCGCGCCGATTTTACAAAGCAAACAATAAATACCTCGACGATTTTTTGCCCTAAGAACCATCAAGCTACATCCCCAACATTGATGTAAACATTTTGTACGGGGGGATAATGAAACACTGCCCTTTGCCCTTAAACGATTTTTCAATAGTTGAAAAAAGTCTGGCAGACATAAGCCTCACCAGCGAAACCTCAGAGTGGGGTTAAATAGTTGAAGTCAATTTAACCATACCCGAAGAGCTTCACGACTTCTTTGCTGATTACCCCCTTGCCCCCTCTCGTGAAGTAGTGGACATCGGTGCAATGAGCAACGAGCAAGTCGACATGTTGGGAAAATTGGGAATCACCACACTGCCAAAAGTGGCAAAGCTTCTACAGACCTTGCATCCTAAAGAATGTTATGTTTTGCACTACCTTACCCTAAAATTGTACCATGAGCTGGGAATGAAAATTACTCACCTAGGAAAAGCTCTTCAGTTCCGCCAAAGTCACTGGATGGCACCCTTTGTCGACCTCAGCACCCGCCTACGAAAAAACGCGGTAAATAAATTCCAGGAGAACTTCTACAAGCTAATTGTTAATTCAGCTTTCGATAAGACAATGGAGTCTAAGTTAGGAAGAAAGAAGCTGAAGATTGTAAGGAATGAGAGAGAACTTTTACAAAAAACAGCTCTGAGCACAAGGAAAAGCTTTCAAATCATTGACGATCAATTAGCTACAATCAGCTTTTCAGTAAAAAAAACATTGTGGGACAAACCTATGATAGTTGGTGCAACCATCCTAGACCTCGCCAAGCGTTTCATGTTTCAGTTTCATTATCAAAAAATGAAACCAAATCTAAACTTGGAACTCCTTTACTCCGACACGGATAGTTTTTTTATGCCATAAACTGATGACGTTTACCGAGACTTGGAGAAAATAAAAGCTGATTTCGACATTTCAAATTACGATGAGGACCATTTCTTGTTCGAGGATACCAACAAGAAAGTTGTGCTGAAATTCAAAGACGAGACTGGTGGGAAGCCGATCAGAGAATTCATCGCCCTAAAACCGAAACTATATTCGGTCGCCTTTAATGGTAAATAAAATTAAGCCACCCTTCCACCCCCATTCCTACCTTTTACAGAACAAAATTACTACCACCAACCCCCTAACACCCTTAATTTTTTGCAGTAAACTATGGGCATTTAGCTGATTTAGGCAACATTATACAATGTTGCCTAAACGTTGATTTATTTGACAACATATTCCCTCTCTTTTCCTCTGTTTTAATCATAAATTAGAGTCTTCTGCTCTTTTTTGATAAAATGAATGAAATTTTGTTCGGTATAAATTGAGTTGCTGAAGTGAAATGAAATTATCCCCTGCGTTGTAGAAAAGAAAGTTTTGCTTCTGTTTAGAAGGCACTCAAAAATTGAGTGCCAAAGGAATTAAACGGCGTGCACAGAGAGAACTGGTCCACCAAACCTTCAGGGACACATTATTCACTGGAAAAACAATGAGAGTGTACAACTATAATATAGTTTCGAAAGTTCACACCAAATGACAGTGAAACAAAACAAACTTGCATTATCACCATTCGACTCAAAACGTTTTCTACTTTTCGACGGAATTTCGACAGTGCCCTTTGGCCTTAAAGCCGCTGAAGAAAATGCTTTTCTAGAAGACATTTAAATGGACACCGAGTGGGCCAACTCATACAATGAAACTGATAACAGTTCTCCCGATTTTCAACTTCCAGATTGGGGATTTTTACAGCGGCCCTACTCAGAAACAGAGCTGCAAGAAGAAGAAGCTTCTAGTAGCCGAGTCCGTGAACGTCCCCCTATAAATAACCCATTTATCTTATCTGAAGCTTCAGAAGAACGACCACCTAAAAAAAAGCGCAATGAAAACCAAAACAATAAACATTAAAGTCTGAAACATATATTTTTAGATGATTTTTACGGTTCGTCCTTTTTGTACTTCGACTTGTATATGTTTTGGTTTTTACCAATTCACAACTAATAAAATACTCGTATTGAGCTCAATCACTGTTTTATTATAAATAGCTTCAGGCAAATAAACCTGTTGACGCAAACCAAGTGTTAATTCAAACAAATATGTGAAATCCTTAGGCTCGTTTTCAATAACAAACTTTAATAGCATGACAAATCTTTGACGAAAAGAAAGAAAGCCAGGAAATGATATCCACATGAAACTAGGACGAATTAGAAAAGTTCAGGAATTAGGACGATTAATTTTAGTTATCGCGGGAAAAGGGACCGCTTTAAAAGGAATTAGAATGAATTATTGTATCGCGTCCCGGTTGTTGGGCTCAGCTTAACAAGATCCTAAGAAGGGGGTCTTTTACTTTAGGGGTGGGAACTTGCGATCATTTACAAAATCCTAGGATAGGGGTCCTCCGAAAAATTAAGGACCCCTTTCCTAGGATTTTGCTTTACGTGAGGACCCCCCTTAGGAAGGACCCCCCCCCTTAGGATCCGGGACACGATACAATACTACTGTTCTTATCAGCCTTGATTTGTTCTGATTTGAAAATGTGTCTTTACATTTTCGGCTCTTGAAAATGATGATTCCTCAGTTTAATTTTCTGTTTTTTTTTCATTCTATCGATTTTTTAACCAGTTTAATAGTTTTAATTCCTTTTTCAATTGATACAAATTTGTTTACTGAGAAATTATAATTTATCAAAAAAATCCTGATTCTTGTTTTTTCCAGAAATTTTTTCTTTTCCGAACTGATCGAACCCCTCGTGTTTAATGAGGGCGAAAAAGAACTAGATAAACGTTTTTTATTTATTTTTACAGCTGAGGATTTTTCAAAGACTGGGTTGGTTGAGTGGTGATAGAATGGAGGGTTTAGCTGAACTAAAATGACAGAAGACATGTTCCATTCTGACTGACCAAAAAAGAATTCAGGTGCACACCAAGTGCAAAATTTCATCTCTAAATTGACAAAGATTGAAGAGTGTCTCGAAAGAGTGATATTTTGAAGTACATTTTTTTCTCCCGCCCTACAAATTCGCTTCTCAAAGATTCTTAAGAGAGATTAAACAAATATTCGGATGTACTTATCATTTAACCCCCTCCCCTTATGGTGCCTACTAAAGAATTGCCACCCTTGTAAATAAAAGCAGTAGTTACCGTACTATTTATAATTCGAATTTAACCGCATTCTGATTGGTGTAAAACTCGGCTAACAACCTACTTAACTATAACAATTAACCCCCACCCCCTTTCTTGATGGGGGGGGCGAAGATAATTGTTCAGTAAATCCAAACAATCTAACGCGAGTGTGACACGTACGCTTCTGGTTTGTCGACCTTAAATAAAAAAAAATTTCAAATAATTCAGATATCATTTGCTCGAATTTTTAGTCTGATTTAAAAAAAAAACGATATCTACAAAAATCAAAAACGAAACATTGGAAAAACTTCCATTGCCGCGTTAAAATTAACAACAATTTTGACCAATAAAAAACAAAAAAAATGTTTATTTTCAGCACTCGCTATTGCTACATGGGTAAAGTGATCAATGCGATTAAGAGTGAAAGATCGGCAGAGAGTGATGACTATTCCAAGTTCATAGAGCTAATCAACAGAGTGTACAGACACATCAACTGGTTTTCAATCTCGTTGATATTATCCCGAGGTGAGTTAAATTTCTTAGAGTAATCATCATTCATTCAAAAAGGTGATCTAATAAATAATACATTATGACAACCTGTAAATAGTTTTACGAACCGAAAACTCAAAAGGGGGGTTAAAAGAGGGCCAATTTTGGATAATAAAATGTGCTAAAAAATGAGAAAAAGAAAAAAAAAGCAGTTCAAAATAATCTAATAACTAGCCAATGCGACTTTTCAAACTTCTAAACAAATTAAACAAATCCAGATTAAAAGAATTAATAATATCCCCATTAACCCGAATAAAGAAAGGGAATTATTATGCGCTGACAATTGCCATTACCAACAAACGTACGAACGGTTTATGAGAAAAAACAGGTGGTCGTTTTTTGTCAATAGCCAAGTTTTGCCAAATTTTTTTTAATAAGTTCTTTTCTCTCAGAACTTTTTTTGTCAGTTTTTAACTTCTTCGCTTTAGGATAAGAGCTACATTTGAAAACTTTTTCGACACGATGTACATGAATGATCCCAGTTCTCTTAAGAGCAATGAAATTATAGCGTATTTTTACATTTTTCTTGGTGATTTTTTTCATTGCGAGACCAAACTGTGTAATTTGCGAATGTAAGCGGATTCCGCAACAAGGACGCTCCTTTTGTTCTTCTTTTGTTCTTTATTTTCTTTGATCATTCTGACAAAACTTTAACGGGCTTACAGTTTTGTCTCTGAATTCCAGAGACATACAAACATCAAATTGTGCGCCTATCCAGTGCACAGTTTGGCCTCGTAATGATTGTGTCTTTTTTAGAAAAAAAAACTCTAAATTACTTCACACTCAACTTTGCTTTATTGCGATTTGACTTTTGATTGACTTTATTTTTTCTTGTTAAAAAGAAGGCAGGCTGGACAATCATCTAGATTATGAGTTTTTTTCTTTTGAGAGTCATTTAGATTCAATTCAGTTTAATTGTTTTTTGATCACTTCAATTAACAAGAGTTTTAGAGAATTATCCCACTTTTTTGTTTTTTTTTAATAATAATTTGATAAAGTATTTGCATGTTAATTTTACAGCTTTTTGCGACAATTCTTGCAGTTTAAGATGCAAGCTGAACTTTTTGTTGGTTTTAAGTCCAAATGTTTATAAAATGATCAAAAATTTGCAAAAATTATTTTGTGGCCTTTTGGCAAAATAGGTTCTCGACTTCAAATATGTGTAATTGTGCGCCGTTATGGTAAATGACAATTGTTTAGGCCTGACAAAATATTGCTGGCTTTTTTCTGACAGTAGGAAAAGAATGTGCACACATTTTTTATCAATTCATGACACTTCAACCGCTAAAAAATAACTTAATTTAACGCTTAATTTTTTGGATTTATGAACATTCAATTTTGATTGGTTATCAAGATCTTCGGGCATCTGGCTCTGCTGCATGAAATACTCTTCAAATCAGTTAATTTTCTTGTGTTGTGTTTTAGAGGAAGGTTTATGTTGTGTGTCCCAGTTGGGTGCCTACAAAAAATTTGGCCAGGACCGAGGATTATCTCCTGCCAGCTACATGGAAGAAATTACTGATTACTCTGGTGATAACAAAAACCTCAATTTTGTAAAGGTAGTCTTCCTTTTTCAAATAATTGATTTAAAAAGTAGGAGTAATTGACACCCATAAAATTTTCAAACAAATCAGTATAAATATCAAGCGTATCGATCTTCTGTATCAAAACAGTGTGACATAAACTATTGTATGATTTAAATGTATTCGCATTGATACCCAAGAAGTACTCGTTTTTTTTCTGAGGTCACTTCTTTCCAACCTAATTGCTTACAAGATAGAATTTTGAATTTTTGTGCTGTGGTGGTTTTTTCTTCAAACAAAGTTTGAGCTTTTGACTAGCCATTTTCACAAAAATTTTTAGAGTACCTCATAGCTATTATCTACGCAATGCAAATTTAAAAAAAAATTATGATTATTTTTTTTGAAAAGTTGAAAACTATTGGTTAGACATTTTCCAAGTTGCAAATTAAAGCGTAAAATACTTCGTGCTATTGACGCTTAAGCAGCGATTTAATGCAGCTCACAAATTAATCAAAACTGACTTGAGACATTCTTTTTGACATACTAATGGGTTTTTCGACAAAAAAGTTATCGAACTTGCGTGTGATTCCTCTTTTTTTTCTTCAAAATTTGCTGAATTAAATAATTTTTTGATTTTTATGTTTTATTATCAAAAAAAATCTACAGTTCCTGTGGAGTTTTTAAGCAATCAGAAGCAAGATTGCGCTATCATGCAAATTTTTGTTCAGTTTTTGAAGTCACAAAAAATTGCTCACACACCTATTTATTCAAAAATACATGCAAAATTAGTTTGAAAAAATTGGCTTCAAAAAAGAAAAACAGCTGGGCTTGAGTAGTCGCTGAACATACTTTCAATTTAAAAATTCATATGAAGTTTATCCATTTTTTGTGATCAAAAATAAAAAAATGCGAAGCATTATATAAATTTTTAATCCTGATATCATGTTGGCAAAAACCGTTTTTTGGGAAGTGTTTTATTTTCAATTTGCATATATTTAAGCTCTTTAGCATGCGTAACATTTCTTTAAAACAATTCATAATTCCCACAGTTGTGAAATGTGCAAAAAATGGAAACAATCTTAACATATATCTTACAACTTGAAAAAATAGGGCCCGAAAAATTGTTATCTATCAAATTACTTTAATTTTTTATCGGTTACTTCAACTTCGGTGAATTTTTATTGGTAAGAACTATAAGCAATCTGAAATTTCTTAGCTTCAATTTTTTTACATTGGATGATATAGACCTTTAGATTGTCTGTTATAGGCCCACTTCAACAGGAACCTTTGCGTCAATCTTATATCGGAAGTTGGCTTCGGAACTGGAGAATTGGTTATCAACGGCCATTATCACGACGCATTTTTTTTACTCAGCGAAGGAAACAATAAGATGTTTCACTTTTTCCCTTATTACAACATAAAAGATCAACTTACCTTTGAGTGGTTTAAATTGAATATAATGTGTGACGAACAACCTTGGATATGTGCTAAACATCCTCCAGATGCGGAGCAAATTGTATAGTTAGACACACAGATAAAACTTTGATTTTGAAAATTTCTGGCAATTTTATAGAATATAAATTGTTTCAAGCGCATCAGCAGCCCGAGTGTTGATCGATACATACAAACCTCTAGATAAAAATTATATTCTGTCCAGCTTTTTTATCAAAAAGGCAAAAAAAATAAACAATTGAAAGTTCGGTTTTCTATTTTAGTATAGTATTTGAAAAAGCACTAAAATTTCTAAATTAAATTAATTTAATTCAGTATAAGTTATTTCAGTTTTATTTAACTTGGAATAAAAAGAACATCAATGAATCAAATTAAGTCATATTCAATTCACAAACATAGTTATTGATGAGATATAAACGTTCAGAGATTTTCATTGCAAATTGTTTCCTCAATTCACTTTCTCTCAAAATTTTGTTTTCTATCGTATTGATGCAAGCAAATAACTCCGACGTTTCATCAAAAGTGACTATAAACATTTTGGTAAAACCCAATCGACAAAACATAACTTGAAATCGGAATGATGTTTTTCACATTTGTTGGAACTATTTTTGATACTCTTCTTCTCTCAAAATCAACAAAACTATTAAATTACTGAGAAGTTTACCCCACTGAAAATCCAGGTCATAATATCATTTGTGGAAGAAGCAGCTTTTTAATTTTTTTCCCGAGATTTTATTATAATCATTAAGAGCCAGATCATTAGAAAACGGGGTTATAGTTTTATTGAATCTAATCGTGATAAAAAGTATATAAAACATCCATTCTGATGATGAGAGAGCAAACACTCAACCTTTGTTCTTCAATTTAGGTTTTGTTCAGCGAAATTTGTTAGATAAATGACTTAACAGCTCGAAAAGTGTGTTTGTATTTAAAACTTCATATACAATTTTATAAAACAAAAGAATCAAGAAATGGGCCATTGAAGATGTCTTATATATTTTAAAAAAACTGAAGTAAAAACTTTTGTTTTCCGCTGTGAACTTGATTAACTTTTTAAAAGCAGCCTTGTAAAAAAAAGTTTGGGTTCAAACTGTAAAATTTAATTCAAATTGTAAAATTGGAAGTTGATAAAAGTCAAACTCAAGATATAATCTGCAGGCTATATTTGAAAAAACAATGAAAACTGGAAATAATCGCAAAAAGTAAGAAAGGTGTTCCTAAATAATTTTGGGAGTTACGGAACATCATTGTCATCCGGTCTGGATCGACAAACTAACCTTATATGTATGTTATTTATATTATTAAGAATCTTATGCTAAACGCCTAGATGGCTGGTCACTTGACCTTGGTAGACAGAGAGGACGAACTCTAACTGAAATAAGAATGAGAGTTGAGTTAATGTTATCTGTCAACTAGTCGTTTATATCGCTCCGACTTAGAATTAAGGTTTATCGATCCAATCGGATTCAAGTGTTAGAATATCATACCCTCCGGTATGACATGGCGCAGCAAGCAGGAAATTCCAAAAACCCACTGAATATTAACCCATTTTGGGAGAGAGCGTCGGCCAAATCACCACTCGAATGGACAAAGTGGGCAGCAATATTGGAAATGGCTGTATTTGCAAAGGATGGGATCGAAATCCGGAATTTATTGCGATCCAAACTAACACTTGTCGACCCTGTTGAGCCTGTATATGAAATTGAAATATATGAAATCGTGAGGTGTGCAATCCAGAAAAACGAGTTGGTTGGGAAAACCACGTCATAAAAGCCCGGGAGAAAGGGGTATTATGTAACTCATACAGATGGAACGAAGCAGACGCACGGGTCCGGAGCTATCTTCTTCTCTGCCTGGGGGCAGAAGGCCAAAGACAAGTTCAACAAAAACGATCTAACCTTGTATTACACAATGTAACCACGCAAGAACTCATGACAGCATTGGAGGATATATTCGTTACTAATAGAATTGTAGCGTTCGAGCAATATAACTTTATTTGCCGTAAACAAAAGAAAACTGAAAGTCTGGAACAATTTCTTGCAGGCCTCGTCGAATTGGCCTCACGGGTTGATTGTGGAGACAGAGAAGATGAATGGGTTAGAGACGTGTTTACAGCGGAAAAAATTGCGGAAAAAATTGCGGAAGAACTGTTAGCACAAACACGAACCCCACAAGACGCATACGAGTATGCAATTCGTCGAGAAAAAGGAATTGAACATAGTCGAACTATGAACATGAACCCATTCAGGGGACAAACTACACCAAAACAAGAACTCATACCTTATATAAACACTCGGGGTGGTCGATATAGTTCGGCAAATAATCAAAACTCACAAAGAGATAGAGGCGGTTTCCGCGGTCGACCATATCCACGCGGATCACAAAATACAAGAGGACAAAAAAGAAATAACAATACAAACAGTTCAAAACAATGCTATAAGTGCGGAAACCAATACAATCAGAATCACCTGCAATTTTGCCCGGCGAAAGATAAAATTTGTTCAAAATGTGCCAAACGAGGTCATTTTGCAAACGTTAAATATTTAGGAACCCGGCAGGATGAGCAACAGGAAGAAATAGAAACAGAAAGCCTCGAAACGGAAAACGATCCGGTAGCTTTTGCCGAGTTTACATCAAATAATGGATGGGATGAATATCAAATAGACAAATTTTCGGTTATGGCAATCGCTGAATCTTTTGAGATCAAGAATACAAATCTCCTGTCAGAAAATGATCTGAATGGACATGTAGTAAAAAAAAACAAAGGCAGAACAATTATTTGCTATTGCCGGCTCAGGAAGTTCAATGTCGTTTTTGAATGAAAAAACCGCACGGCGCATCCAAACAAAACAATAGATCAGCACTCTTCAAGTGTATCCCACCAGACGACACTGCCAGGAGTCTGGCATGTTACCATGGCGAAACAATAAATCCGAAAGGAAGATTGATTATAACCATTGAATCAGGAGGCTGGAATATTCAATCAGCCCCATTTATCATTGTAGATGATCACAAAGCCAACATAAGAGGACGCAACATACTACCACAAAAAGTTAAAATGTTGTTCCAGAGCAGCTCCTAATCATGTAGTAGAAGCATCGCATACGATGCGAGTGTCACGATGTTGGTCAAAATGTTTTATTTTGTGTTATTCCAGCTACCAATTTAAATATGTTCTTGAAAGTTGTGTTATGCTCTGTTGACCAGTCAACTGGTTTGTTTTTTTTCTGTGTTTTTTAATAATGGGCGTAAAGCGGCAGCGGTTTGAGCTAATTTCGGTATATATCGTGTAAGATGGTTTATGGAGCCCTTAAACTTTTTTAGTTGTTTGAAAGTTTTTGGTGGTGATAGTTTTTCGATGGCCTCAGTTTTTCTTATAAGGGTTTTTGTTCCCTCGCTGTGAATGTTGAAACCTAATCACTCATTTTGCTTGCATGCAAACTTACATTTATCCAATTATATCGCAAGATTTTCCTCGTCCAGTTTCTTCAGAATTGATTGCAACTTTTGTTTGTGAAGATCCAAAGATCCTTTTGTTACGATGAGTATATCGTCCAGATAGGCATAGGTGTTCGTAAAAATTGTAAGAGTTAGATCTATCGCTTTTTGAAATTCAGCTAGCATATCCGTGAGGCCATAAAATCCTGTTTGGAACTGATAGATCCCAGTGGCGTTACCACCAAAAAGAATAAAGTTGCATTGTACTCTGGTTGTTTTATCCAATGGGATTTGTGAATATGCGTAGCTGAGGTCGAGTGTTGAGAAAAGTGTTTGTTTGGATTTGTCTGATTTTACATCTATGCAATTTTGTCCAACAGCAATTCAATGTTGGGCATTTGATATTCGTTCTTGTGGATGAATTTGTTGATTTTCTTAGAATCTAACGCGCGTTTGACTGTTATGACAATTGGGCTAACAAATTGTCGATCTGAACATTTTGATTTCCGGATCTGATTGCTCTTGCTTGCGTACGGTTAACACATTTTGTTTTTGTGTTTTTTTGTATCAACCTGGCACATATTTGTGGTAGTATGTTGCGTCCTCTTATGTTGGCTTTTTGATCATCTACAATGATAAATGGGGCTGATTGAATATTCCAGCCTCCTGATTCAATGGTTATAATCAATCTTCCTTTCGGATTTATTGTTTCACCATTATAACAAGCCAGATTTCTGGTTTGTTATAATTGTGAAACAATAATCCCGAAGGGACGAATAATTATAACAATTGAATCGGGAGGCTGGAAGATTCAATCAGCCCCGTTCATCATTGTAGATGATCAAAAAGACAATATCATCGGACGCAATTTACTACCAAAAATCGGTGTCAGGCTAATTCAAGAAACAAACAAACAAACTGTATTGAACATTCGCGAACAAGAAGAATCGGATCCGGATATCAAACAATGGGTTAATGATAATTTCCAACAACTATGCATACGTATCGGAAAATCAAAAAATAACATGATGAAAACTGAATTCAGTAAAGACTTCATGCCAATACAACAGAAAGGACGACGTATTCCGGTACACTTACAGGAAAGAGTTGAAGGGGAGCTCAACAAATTGATGGATCAAAATCACATCATCAAATTAGATAAATGCTCGGACCAACAATTTATTGGTCCAATTGTTATCACAGTCAAAAAAGATCAAACAGTCAAACTCGCACTAGACTCTAAGAAATGCCCAACATTGAACTCCTGTTAGATAATATCGCGCAGGTGTTAAAATCAGACAAATCTCAACAAACACTATTTTCAACACTCGACCTTCGTTACGCATATTCACAAATCCCATTGGATAAAACGACCAAAGAACAATGCAACTTTAGTCTTATTGGGGGCAACGCTACTGGAACTTATCAATTTTAAACAGGATTTTATGGCCTCACGGATATGCCAGCCGAATTTCAAAAAGCGATCGATTTAATTCTTACAAATTGCACGAACACTTACGCTTATTTGGGCGATATTTTGATTGTCACAAAAGGATCGTTGGATACACAAAAACAAAAGTTACAATCAGTTCGTAAAAAACTAGACGAAGAAAACTTACTTGGCAATATCATTGGATAAATGCAAGTTTGCATGCAAACAAGTTGAGTGGTTAGGACTTACTGTTTTTAGCGAGGGTACAAAACCAACTTGTAAAAAAAACTGAGGCTATTGAAAAACTATCACCACTAAAAACATTTAAACGACTAAAAAGTTTTATGGGTTCCATACATCATCTCCGCGGTACATTC